ACTCTGGGATAGAGAGCATCAAGTCACCAGACCAGGCCAGGGGCCTAAACCAGGACAGAGGCTTCTTTGGGGACAAACTTTGGGCTGCCACTATCCTTAGGATGAGTACCATAGTATCTCATAGGAGGTGGGATGAGGGCCTAGGAGAGGCCATCAAGAGGACTAAGAAGAAAGAAAGTCATCCGCCAATTTGGCTGGGTGCCCGGACAGATAGTCACAGTGTTTGGTGTGCTAGCCAGCCTGCCCTGGTTGTCTATGTGGCTATCTCCTTCCGGTTATGCCTCCCAGCTAGTACACACGTCTCCACGCCCCCGTTGGCGTGCACTGGCAGGCCTGCGCTGGATGGGGTGTGGGTTTGGGAAGGGAGGTAGCTATGAGCACCACCCAACCTGGCTCCTAGGGAGTCCCTCAATGCAAGGAAATGCTTTCATCCTTTACACTTCTAAAGCCAGGGCACAATTACCTCCTGAAGGGAGACTCGTGAGACAGGTTCCCAGGCTGGGACCTCACTCTGCTGTGTCAGGAATATGTCTGTGTCCAAAGCTGTATTTCTTGTGACCTCCTTCTGAAACGCCACCTCCCTTCTTGGTGTCTATGTTGCTATGTCTTCCAGCTTAGGTCATAGACATCTAGAACCTGGGAGCTTCCCCTTGACTGGCTTTTCCTGTCCTATCTCCCATCTGTCCCTGTGACTCATTTGGCACTTGGAGTAAGCTGCCTTGAATAACAGCCCAAGTCTGTGAACGTATGGTTTTACATATGTATCTTCTTGTCATTCCCTAATTTTCCAACTAGGTTTAACTATTTATGTGTATTTGAATACTTACATGTACATGCTTCCGGATTCAAAGGGTACCAACAACTTTTTATGAACGGCAATAATAAATCTTTATCTGATTCTCCTCTTGGCAGCTACCAAACCTAATATAATTTGTATTTAACTTTTTTTTTCTCCTTTTGAGACAGAGTCTTGTTATATAATCCAATTTGGCCTTCAACTCATGATCCTTTTGTTTCAGCTAGGTGCTGTGATTACAGTCATGTTCTTCCACACCTGAATCTTGGCACCCCGCACCTCCAGGCAGTTTCTTGTGTGAGTGTGTGTGTGTGTGTGTATGTAGCTTTAGCTGTCCTGGACTCACTCAGCAGACCAGAATGTCCTCGAACTCACAGTGATCCTCCTGCCTCTGCCTCTCAAGTGCTGGGATTGGTCAACTCTTTATTCAGAGCATCAGACAATTTATACTCTGAAGGTTAAGAGGAGTCACATGGGTAAAATGTGCAAGACAAACCACATGTGGTAGACAAGGTGCACATGGCAGAAACATGTTTTTCCATAGACGCATATAAATAAGCAACATTAGCCAGCTGTAGAGAATAATCTGAAGTAAACTCAGTCCTCTCTTCTACTCCTTGGAGGGGCACAAAAGTGTAATCCAAGAACAATTACATGTTTTGAAGAAACTGAGGTCACAAGATTCTTGTCTTGGCATTTTTTTCACAAGCACTCAGAAACCTCCTCACACTAACTGGGCATGGTGATGTACACCTGTAATCCCAGCACTCTCTGTGAGTTCGAGGCCTGCCTGGTCTACAAAGTGAGTCTAGGATAGCCAGGGATACATAGAGAAGCCCTGTCTGAAAAGAAAGAAAGAAAAGAAAGAAAGAAAGAAAGAAACTTCCTCACACAACTCCATTTGGACTGTGTTCTGGCATCCAACCACTCCTCAAAAAAAAAAAAAATTATATATATATATATATTATAAATTACCCAGAGTGCTAGAAATATGGTAATTTCACCTAGCAGGTATAAGACCCTGGGTTTGTTCCCTAGTATTAAACTTCTTTTCTTTTTTTTCTTTTTGGTTTTTCAAGACAGGGTTTCTTTGTGTAGTCTTAGCTGTCCTGGACTCGCTTTGCAGACCAGGCTGTCCTTGAACTCATGTAGATCCTCTGCCTCCCTGAGTGCTGGAATTACAAGAGCGTGCCACCGTGCCTGGCCCCAGTATTAAATTAAAAAAAGAAAAAGAAAAAGAGAAAGTTGTCTTACAAATTCTTTGACCTTCTTTGTGAACAACAATAACAACAAAAGTAAAACTTTATCTGCTTCTGCTAGGTATGTTCCATGCATTTCCCTTTAGTTTTATTTTTTCTTGTTAGAAATCTCATCTCCTTAAGCACAAGATCTAAACATAAACCTTTCTGTTTTTCTGTTTGTTGCATAACCTCACTAGCCTCTAATTTTTTTTTTTTTTATCCTTCTGTCTCAGCCTCTGGGCATATACATACTTTCTTTCCTTTCTTTCTTTCTTTCTTTCTTTCTTTCTTTCTTTCTTTCTTTCTTTCTTTCTTTCTTTCTTTTTTTCAGACAGGGTTTTTCTGTGTAGCCTTGGCTGTCCTGAACTTGCTTTGTAGACCAGGCTGGCCTCGAACTCACCGAGATCTGCCCCCCACCTTCTGGCTGGGATTATAGTCATGTGCCGTGGCACCCGGCTTTCTTATTCTTCTTGGTGTTGCTTTTTTCTTGTTTGTTTTTTAGACAGCCACTGGCTGTGCAGCCCAGGCTGGCCTGAAACTCACTCTTTAGGCGAGGCTGCCCTTGAATTTGAGGTAGTCCTTTCTCAGCCTTCTAAACGGTTGAAACTGTAGGTGCAATCTACCATACCCAGGTTTTCTTTTCTTTAAAACTGAAAAATCACATTTATTGTGTGCATGTGTGTGTGCATGGGCACAGCTGAGCCATAGCACTCAAGTGGTGACTGGAGGAAAACTTGTGGAAGCCGGTTCTTTTCTCCTCTGTGGGACTCAGGGTTTGAGTTCAGGTCATCAGTCTTAGTGGCAAGTACCTTTACCCCTGAGCCATTTGTCACTGGGTCATCTCATTGGTTCTGGCTTTTCTGTTCTTAATATCACATACTTGGTAGGTGCTAGACAACTGTCTACTGAGATAAGAGAAGAAAAACAGCAAAAATTCAGAAGATTTTTGGAGTAAAATTTACTTACTCTTGATTCGCTTAAACTAAATATAAGCCTTTAGCCATTGGTCAGTCAGGACCCCTATTGCAAATAGCAGAAGCTAACTCAAGTAAATTAAACCAACACCAAAACAAAACAACAAACTAAACCAACCATTTCCCTCCCTTCAGTCACCCTCCAGTGTACGGAATTCACATTGACTCTGTTAATGCAAAGGCTGCCAATCTAACCTCAGCAAACAGCTGCATCAGAGGAGGTCTGGCAGCCCAGTCCCCGCCCTTCCCCGCAGCCTCAGCATGAGAATGACACTTCCTCCTCCGGGCACAAGAGGCCGCTGCAGGCCCCCATGGCAACCTGCACTGCCCAGAAATAAATTCTTAGCCTCCTTCACCTTCTTCTCCCCTGCCTTGCTCCAGATTTGACGTCCCACTTATCGGCGGCACCTCATTGGCAGAGCTCGTTTTGTGCCATCCCCCTAAGATCAGGGAAGCCTCAGACTTCTGTGGTAGATACTTCATCTCTTAATAGGGCTGAAACAATGAAAATTCCCTAACTTTAGGTGGTAGTTTAGAGGGTGAGCAGGACTCAGGGAAAAGGGGACTTCTTCTGGCTGCCTTCTTCTCTCAGGTCCTGCCCAAGCTGTTGCTTTGATGTGATGTCCCCAGGTCACCCATCCTCAAACTGACTGGACTCATGCAACCATTACTGCTTGGGTCAAGGGTGACACCAGAAAGCCCTGTGCTAATAAACCTTCTATAAACCATGCTTCATCTGACTTTTAAAAAACTGTAGGTGCTACCTATATTTAGGAAGGAAAACAGTCCTCTGAAGCTCCCAAGTCACAGGGCAGCAGCAGATCGCAAAGCTAGGTCTCCCTGCTCTCAGAGACCCGAGTTCTCAGTGGGCTCTGCTGGCAGGCTGCTGTCTTAGCAGCCGACTAGATCCCATTTGATGGCCTCCTTAACCCTCCCCCAGGGCTGGGAATTGAGGCTAAGGTAGGTCTGGCGCTTGCTGGGCGAGTGCTCTACCTCCGAGCTGTTCCCACGGCCCCACGTGCCTCCACTAAAGAGAAGCTACGCCACCAAAGCCCAGGAATTGGGCCCAGATGGGATAAAGCAAGAGCCAGTTCCGGAAGGTTCTCTCTTTCATGAGGTCTGAATCCAGCAATCATTTTGAATTGGAATAGATCTGTTCAGGGTCAGCTTGGAAGAGGAACCTTGAACCTAGTCATTTCCTCTTACTAGGCCCTTCTACCTCATCTCTGGTATGTATTAAAACTGATGGTAAGAGTCTTCCAAGTATTTTTCGCCATCCAACTGATATTTTTTAACTCTGATTGAAGACTAAGGGGTGGGAGGACGACGACCCACTACTCAATTCTTATCCTGTGGAATTTACCTTCTAATTGGGGATGTGGAGGATCATCGAATAGACGTTAATTTGCGGCTCTGACAAGCGTGGAGAAGGAAATGCCACGAGACTCTATAAAAAGCACATCTGACCTACTCAGGAGAGCCAGGGCAGCCTCTTTTGAAGACTTGGGGCCGAGGCTAGGATGTGAAGAAGGGGAGGAGTTAGGCCCAGAGGAGATTAGGCCTGGAGGTGATGGCCTCGGGGGGAGTACTGGGGGTTCATGAAGCATGTTTAGAGGCCAGCGACAGAGGGACATGAGCCGGACCGCTTCTCTGCCCGTGTTTGAGAGAGTGCGTCATGGCTGGAAGGATGTACCAGACTTTCAGCCTCCCAAGTTCCACCTGGGAATGACGTCGCTGGAGTGCAAAACTAAAATAGACGGCTCCGCCCCCATCTCCCAGCAGCCCCTGCAGCGTTCTCCCTCACCCGCCCCTGTGTGACCAGCCGAGCCGGCCCTCTCTGGCTCTCTAGTAGTTTCCGCGGCGCTGACGCATGCTTGCGCACACAACCCAGCCTGGCGCGTCTCACACAGCAGCCGCGAGCCGGGCTGCGGGTGCCAGGCGGTTTCCCCGCGGGGGGCAGGGGCGGGACTCCCAGCAGAGGAGGTGCGGCCCCAGCCGGGTCAGGTTGGGGACTCCAGATCTGTGTGCTGGAGTTAGGGGGTTCGGGTAGGGCTACCCCCGGCCTGCGGGACTAGATAAAGAAAGGCTGCGAAGGCGCCTAGTCACCGGCTGCAGGCGCGGCTCTCCGGGCCTGCTGCCACCTCGCAGTGCGTCCTGCCCGCCGGGGGCTGCGACCGCAGGGAGTCGCGGTGCCTCTGTCAGCCTGACCCTTTCTCTCCTGCAGCCCTGAGGAGGGCCGCCTGACGGCTGAGTTGCCATGGCATCCTACTACGAGATTCTAGACGTACCGCCGAGTGCGTCTGCTGATGACATCAAGAAGGCGTAAGTGCGTCAGCTGTGCTGTAGAGACTCTTGACCCTTGTTCCCCGCCCCTCTGAGCGCCAGGGGTCCTTTTCAAGGGCTGCTTGGAGGGAGGAAGGGAGACCGACCCTTGGGAGAAGATGAGGCGAGGGAAAAAGCGCTGTCCTTCTCTGGGGCCCACTGTACGCCCCCTCCCTCCCAACCCCGTGGTTTCCCCTCTCCTACATGGGGACTTTGCCCAGGTCACAGTGCTAAAATGTCCAGGCTCTATGAGGTAGGCCAGTGTCCCCACACTCTCTGTAGCTATAGATAACTCTATGTAATGAACTCTAAGAGAGGGTTTAGGGTGAGGACATCCCTTTTTGCCAATAGCCCTGGCACAGGGCAGGGAGATAACCAATCCCCTGAATACATGGCTGCAGTCGTGGGGCATTCTGGGATCAGAGCAGTGAAAGGGTGTCGGGCTCCAGAGAGGGTAGTTCAGTTGCCTGGTGGGAAGAGCCTGCACCGTTCCCCTGACCCTGCCGCTGCATCCCCTTCCTGCAGGTATAGAAAGAAGGCTCTACAGTGGCACCCGGACAAGAACCCGGATAATAAGGAGTATGCTGAGAAAAAATTTAAGGAGGTTGCAGAGGCCTATGAAGTACTATCTGACAGTAAGGCTTGGGGTCCTGCAGGGACCAGCATGTCCTCCTGCTTCCATTCATGCTCATCTCACTCCTTCCTAAAGCTAAGTCTCCATCGCCGGCCTCCTCCCTGCTTTTCTCTAAGCTGGCATTTAATTGTCTTCTCCATGGCAAGTTCTGTCTGTGGCTCAGGGTCTGGAAAGCAGTATGGGTCCTGACCAGGGAAGGGTACAGCTTTCCTGTTGAGAGGCTTATCAAGCCTATTTTATAGGCTGGTAAACCGAGGCTGAGAGAGATGAAATAATTTGCACATTTCTTTTTTTTTTAAAAAAAAATAATTTATTTTATGTGCATTAGCGTGAAGGTGTCAGATCCCTTGGAATTGGTGGTATAGACAGTTGTGAGCTGCCACATGGGTGCTGAGAATTGAACCCGGGTCCTTTGGAAGAGCAGGCAGTGCTCTTAACCACTGAGCCATCTCTCCAGCCCCCAATTTGCACATTTCTTGAGCTAGAATATGAATCCAGGTCTGACAGGTGGACTTTTTTTTCTGCACCAAAGATTGTACCTAGGCCTTGTGCCTGCTAGGCAAGTGTTCCACTGTTAAGCCACAATCCCAGATCCAGGTCTGTCGTTCATTCAGAAAATATTCTGACTAGACAATGGTTATAATTCCAGTATTTCAGAGGTAAGGCAGGGGTTCCTAAGGTCAAAGGTCCTGTCTCAAACAAGACTCAAAATAAGAAACAGTGGGCTGAGGGTGGAGCTTTGTTGGTAAAGTGCTCTGCGGGCATACACAAGGCCGTGGGTTTGATCCCTACCCCCACATAAACTAGGCATGGTGGTGCATGCCTGTAATCCTAGCAAGGCAAGGGAGAAGGGGGAGGATCACAAGTCCCAGGGCTTCCTTGGCCACATGTCAAATTCAAGAGCAGCCTGGGTTACATGATCAGTGTCTTTAAGATGTATTTCTTAGCTCTATCTCAGCAGTTAAGAGGACAAGGTAAGAGGATTGCCAAAAGTTTGAAGACATGCTGGGCGCAGTAGCGCACGCCTGGAATCCCAGCACTTGGGGAAGCAGAGGCAGGTGGATTGCTATGAGTTCGGGACCAAACCTGGTCTACAAAGCGAGTCCAGGACAGCCAAGGCTATACAGAAAACCCTGTCTCAAACCTCCTCCCACAACCCTCCCTCCTCCAAAAATAAAAAATAAAAAGAGTTTGAAGATAGCCTGGTATAGAATGAGACCCTGTCTCAAAACAACAAAAAGAATGAATGATCCCAGAAACTATCCCCTACACTTACTGAGCCAGGTATTTTGGTGTACTAGGGTGACAGTGGAGGACAAGCAGGCCTTGTCCTCATCCTGTGGGTCTGTCATAGTCTGGTCAGAGAAGGCCGACAAGTAACCAGGTGAATGCAAAGACAGGTTATACCTTGAGAAGCGTATTCCAGAGGACAACAGCTGTACCAGGGAAGGGTGGTGTGTGCTCTTGTGGTCTTAGCCAGGTCTCTGGAAGTGGCTTGATTAGGCTAAGCCTATTAATAATAATATGGTAGGAATTAGCTGACCTTTATTTGCTTATTTGTGTTGATCCTAGGGTCTTGTTTCTGTTAGGCAGAGTCTCTTGAGTCACCTCGTTTAATTATCTCGGTGCCCTTAGAAGTAGGTGCAATTAGTGTGTCTGCCGTATAGACGAGCCAGCCGCTAAAATCATGCTCTCCGAGACACCCTGCCACCCCCAGAGTTGCATTTTCTGAAACTCATCCTAGCCCAGGAGGGGAGGAGATAACTGCCTTAAAGGGAGGAATGACCAGATCTCTTCTTCCAGAGCACAAACGGGAGATCTATGACCGCTATGGCCGGGAAGGGCTGACAGGGGCAGGTAGGTGGAGCCGTGGGGTGCCGCAGTGGAAGTGGGTCAAAGAGGGCGGGGCAAGCTTACAGAGCATGCTCTTTCTGAGGTTCCTGGCTATGCCTTAGGTGGGTCCCCTGCCTCAGGGCTATATGGAGACTCTAAGCCCCTCTCTTCATCCTGACTCTCTTTCAGGACCTGGTCCCTCACGACCAGAAACTGGTGGTATGGGACCTGCTTTCACATTCACCTTCCGTAGCCCTGAGGAAGTCTTCCGGGAGTTCTTCGGGAGTGGAGACCCTTTTTCGGAGCTCTTCGGTGCGTAGACTCATGGTAGCCCAATTCCGTCGTCCTCCAGCCTGCTGTCTGTCCTCTGGGGACCTCTCAGGCCAGAGGCTGAGAGGGGATTGGAATTTCACAGACAGAAGATTTGAGGTTGTAGGCGTGAGTCCAGTGAAAGCTAGGACAGAAACTCACACATGCCAGGACTCACGTGGCACACCAGTGACACTTCACAGACTGGCCTTATTAAATGACAACAAGAACACATTGTTAAACCTTCCACAACAGCCAGCAGTTGGAACAAGACTCAAAGTGTCATGTGACAGCTGTAGCCACACCGCACATTACAACAGATACCATTATTTTTTTTTTAACGAATAACATATGTCAAGAATTCTGTGTCCCGAAAGCCACCTTCAAATCCTGAGAGGTGAGTCATTTTAATTCCCATTTGCAGATAAGAAGACAGAAGCATATTATTAGTTAGCTTAGAGTCACACGGTAAATGGCACAGTGGTTGGCTAGGAAGGAGCTCAGTGGTAGAGGCTTGTCTGGTACATTCAAGGCACCGATTTCAGTCCCCAGCCACAAAACAAAATTCAAAGGTAAATCAGGTGATTAAAGGACTCCTTTGACAGGCATGGTTGTGCATGCCTGTAAAAAACAGCTCTTGAGAGTCGGCCATACACCGAATTTAATCCCTGCACTCTGGAGGCAGAGGCACTCTGTGAGTTCGAAGCCAGCCTGGTATACATAGCTAATTCCAGGCTAGCCAGGGATATGCAGTAAGAACCTGTCTTAAAAACAGCAAAACAACAACAACAAAAAACTTTAAACTTGGGAGGTGGAAGCCCAGGATCAGGGGTTCAAGGTCATCCTTATCTATTAAGTTTAAGGCTACCTTGAGAAGTTTAAGGCTAGCCTGAGTTACTGAGACCCTTAAAAAAAAAAAGTTTTAAAAATTTGTAACTTTGCATAACCCCAAACAGGAGAAATCAGAAGTATACCTGGTTGCTTTTCAGCTTGGTTTTGTTGTTGTGTTGTTACTGGTTTTTGGTTTTTTGAGACAGGGTTTCTCTGTGTAGCCTTGGCTGTCCTGGAACTCTCTCTGTAGACCAGACTGGCCTCGAACTCAGAGATCTGCCTGCCTCTGCCTCTCTCCCAAGTGTGTCACCCCTGCCCCCCCAATCTTTGATTTCTAGGCTTTAAGGCCACACAGTTTTAGAGGCAAGCTCTTCACCAATGACCAATGTTCTTGCAGATGAGTTGGGCCCCTTCTCAGACCTTCAGAATCGGAGTACTGGACGATCTGGCCCTTTCTTCACTTTCTCTTCCTCCTTTCCTGGCCAGTCTGGTAAGCACTGTCCCTGTCCATTTTTTACAAATCCCGAGTCCTGGAATCCCAGGAATTGGCTTCACTTTTGCTAGCCCAGGCAGGCCCTCGTGAGGCCCCAAGATTCCTGCTTTCAGCAGTCAGCGGCCTCTCTCTCATCACCTCCCCTCAACCTTTTCCCAATACCAGATTTTTCGTCCTCGTCTTTCTCCTTCAGCCCTGGGGCTGGTGCTTTTCGCTCTGTTTCTACATCCACCGCCTTTGTCCAAGGACACCGCATCACCACGCGCAGGTGAGCGCTCTTTCTAGGTCCCCCAGGGTGGGGGGTCTGGGGATGAGGCCTAGAAGCAACTGCTGTGTCAACATGGAGTCTTGCCCTGAGCACTGTAACGGTCAGAGCCTGGACCAGTCTCTGCTCATTGACTCAACTGTGCCATCTTCCACAGAATCATGGAGAACGGGCAGGAGCGGGTAGAAGTGGAAGAGGATGGACAGCTGAAGTCGGTCTCAATCAATGGTGAGTGGGGCCTCCTTGTACCTCCCGGGGTGGGGCTAGAGGGAGAAGAGGGTCTCAGATGGCTAGCTAATTAGCATCATCATTAGTGGCAGGCCTTCCTTTTGCAAGGCTCTTAACTCTGTGTGTGTGGCACTGGGGGTTGGACCCACACCCAGCCTTTTTGTCATGGTTGCTGGGGATCGGAACTTAGACGCTCATGCTCGCTGAACCAGCTCCCCAGTCCTCCTGCGTTCTCCACAGGGCAGTAAAGCAGTGCGGAGCGTATTTACCCAATTTTGTTGTTTTTGTTTTTTTGAGACAGGGTTTTCCTGTGTAGCCTTGGCTGTCTTAGCACTCGCTCTGTAGACCAGGAAGGCCTTGAACTAGTTGTGCCACCAGTTTTTGGCCTATTTACCCAGCTTTTATTTGAGGGGCCTGAGCTGAACCATGTTTGACCCTCACTTTCAAGTAGCCTCTGGCTCAAGACTAACTGCTTACCAAACAAAGGGTGTAAGTTAAGCCAGGAATCAAAATCAGGTGTGTGTGTGTGTGTGTGTGTGTGTGTGTGTGTATGTGTACAGGTACTGGAGTATGGAGCAGAGCCTTGGGCATGCTAGGCTGCAGTGCCAGTCCAGGAATCAAACCCAGTCAGTGTGGCTAGCCACTTACAGCTAGAATGGCACTGTGACAAGTACGTTACATGGGCTATCATATTTAGTCACTGGAGCAGTTGGCATGTGTAGACAATCTCGTTATTCTCCCATGTCACAGACAAAGGAGGCCCAGGGGTCTGGGTACCGTGCCTGAGGGAACACAGCCACAACCTTGTAGCCCAATGCACATGTGTCAGTTGCAAAGAGCCTGTGAATGGTCAGGGTCGTTACTGTGCAAGGCAGCCCTTGCATGATGTCCTAGCTTGGATCTGGGACCTAATGGTTGATGCGACTCCTACAGGTATCCCAGATGACCTGGCACTAGCCTTGGAGCTGAGCCGTCGTGAGCACCAACCTTCAGTCACCTCCAGGTTGCGGGTCCAGCCGACCCCTCTCTCCCGTCCCTCTGACATCAACCTTTCTGAAGATGAGGACATGCAGCTTGCCATGGCCTACAGTCTATCAGAGATGGAAGCATCTGGGCAGAAGCCAGCAGGTGGGCGGGGGGCACAGCAACGATGGCAGGGGCGGCCCAAGGCCCAGCACCAAGATCTTGATATGGGGGTCACACATAAGGGGGCGAGGGGTGAGGCAGCCAAACCCAGCCCATCCTCAGAGGAGAAGGCCTCTCGCTGCCTCATTCTCTGAAAGCCAGGCTGAGCCTGACGTGATTCAGGTCCTGATGCAGAGTTCCGCTCACTGTCAGGAGCACGGAATAGAGTGGCCTGAGCTGCAGGATCCCAAACTCTGTCCTCCACAAGTTCCCCTCCCAGGCCCACCATCCTATAGCATGGACAAAGGATTTGTTGTACTCTGATAGGTCCCGGGGTAGAGCCCAGGACTGGGGGCAGCAGGGGCCATGGAAGGGCCTGTGGAGCCTAGAGGCACTGGTTGGATCAGGCACCGCTGAGGGACATTAGGGGCTCGGGGTGGGCCTTCTGTGGCCAAGTCTTTTCCTGCCGTCTATGTTGCTGACACTGTCAAGGAAGTGGGGCTTGGCCCAGCATGCGCTGAGCCCTGGGGAGCAGCGCAGGCCAAGTGGAGCCTCTGCTATCCTTGCTGAGCCTCTTCAGGCCTCCCGGATTCTGTGCAGAACTGAGCTCTCACCCGCTTCCGCTTCCCCTCTGCTGCTGCTTTCCCTCCACTCTGCTCTCTGCAACTCCTGCGTTCGCATCGCTTGCTTTTATGGCTGCTTGGCTAGGACTCCCTTCTCCTTTTCTTTGAAGCCCAGGAAGATGCTGGGACCAGTGGGGCCATAAGATCTTCTAGGGAGGCTAGCTAGGTGGGGTTGAAGCCTCTCAGCCCTCCAGAGTCTCAACCAGAGTCAACTCCTCTTCCCTTCTTGCTGCCTCAGCCTGCCCTGGCCATAGGACTAGGCAGAGGTGAGGCTGGCTCTCCTTGGAGAGGTGGGGATAGGGCCAGGGTGACCCTGATGGGAGGCCCAGGTGGGGGCTATATCCGGACTCCTTGTCCATCATGCATCAGAGCTCAGGGGCTGGCCGTAGGGCTGGTCTAGGTGTGCATGCTCGGCTCCACCCTCCATCTGCTTACAGCTGACCCTCTCTCCTGTCACCCACCCCTGCTCTCTCCCCAGATGTGTTCTGAGCTGGATATCCTGGATACAGAGTTGCTGCAGTTCCATCAGGACAGCGCCCTCCCCAATGTGCTAGGAGGGAATGCTACATTCCTCTCCCTCACTTAATGCTGAGTGTAGAGCTGGGGCCTGGGTGGTGGGTGGGGACCGAGTGGGAGGCACCTGTAGTCGTAGCCTCTGAACTCTCTCCCCCAGGGTGCTTAGGGCTGTCTCTTGCAGATTACAAATCCCAGAGTGCAATGCACCCTGGCCTCATTTCTGATAGGTCTTATCCCAAGGGAAGTGGTGTTCAGTTATAAAGCTGAGCTTTTTGGGATGTGTAGTTCCAACCCTGGCCAGTCTGTCACTCTCTGAATGGGGAGATCTTGTCTTTTTATCTTGTCCCTGGCAGGGGGTGGTGAGGATTGTAGATGAAGGAGAATAGACCAGAACATTAATTCCTGTGACACTTCTTGCTAAAAGTGGAATGAGGTTGGAATGAGCAGACCAGAGTCCTTTAGCATCTGAAAGAGGTTGTTTTCTCCTGGGCAGCCTGGGGTCCGAGGAATAAGCTAATGGGGCACTGGGCTGAGTAGATAGGGCATGGTCCTGGATGGCTGTGGGCTGGTAGAAGGAAGGAGAGAAGGCTGCCTTGGCTGGAGTGTGTATGGCGAAGATTGGCATGCAGAGGGAGTGTTGGACATATCGCTTGAATGGCTTTCTTTGGCCTCTGACCTTGCTGTCCATTCTTTCTTATCATCATTCATCCTCCATGAGGCCACCTGTCCTCCTGCCTGGGGAGCCCAAGGGCAGCAAGGGGATTGGTGGAACGGGCTATGGCCCACCTTTGAAACACTGAACCTCTGACACCCATCAAAGCTGGAATTCAGACTGAGGGGAAAATGGAAGCAAATAAAACTGAGTTTTGAGAGCTCATTGCCCCATGTTCCTCTTTTCCAAGATGGCCTGAGGGGGACTCTCTGGAACTACTAGGTGACACGTCAGGCCTCACACACCTTTCTTCGTGCCAGACAGCTGGAGGCATAAGCTTTTACCAGGTTGTCCAACCAAGAAATGCTTAAATTCTTGTCCCTCACTTGCAGGGTCCCACAACTAGCTTTACCCTAAAGGTCTCTCTTGTAAGGGGACCTACTTCCTGGTTCTCTGTAGTACAGCTAGGCTGAGGCTAAGTTAAGACTTGGTTGGATACCTGGGACTCACAGATGACCCCTGATGATTTTAAACAGTGTCCAAAGGCCCTAGACTAAGCCCAGGGACTGTGAGCCTGGTGCGTATACACCACCCTCCTGAGCGTCCAGGACCGGGGATGAAGGAACCAGGAACTCCTCTCCGCTTACTGTCTCTAGCCACAGACCAGCACCTCCGTGCTGTCACACAAGAGGATGTGGCTCTGGGTCCCTCTCCCCAGAATTCACTGTTAGCTTCACCCGACGTCAAAGGACCTAGCCGACCTCTGGACGATAAAGCAGCAGCCTACCCTGAGGGGGAATGCCAGCCCTCACCCTGAGCATCTGCTGGGACTTGCAGAATGGTGCTTTGCACACTTGGAGCCTTTGTCTCACAGAACATTGGAGCTGGGCCTCTGTGGAGCAGTTGGTAGGACGGGGCATTGTTCCTCACCCTCGGCATTCAGAACTCACCCCATGTTCTCATTTGAACTCCAGCATGAGCAAGTGGCCCCGGGCTCTGGGTTCAGCTCACCTCAAATTTTTTTTTTTTTTTTTTTTTGCATCTGGAACCACCAAGGGTGACTTAGGACATACAAGCAAGGGCTCCTGGGGGGAGGAGCACAAGGGCAGCCATAAGGGTAAAAGGGCTGAGAGGGTGGATAAGATGAATGGGGGAAAAGCATCCTCCCCAGATGGCTTGCCCCAGCTCCTCACTGGTGGAGTTGGCTGTGGTATCTATGGCCTGAAATGTGGCAGTCAGTGCGTAGACAGGTGGTCTCCTCAGCTCTAAGCTCAGTCCTATGTAACATGGATGTCATTCCCGAGGCTGAAGGGCATGAAGCAGCCGCTTAAGAGCTGGGAGGAAAGGCTATTACAGGAAGGCCTGGCTTCCCAGGTTCCAATCCTGGACCACTTACAAGTGTCTCGCCCTGGGCTAGGGCCATTCTGCGCTCTTTGTCAGCACATGAGGCATTACTGGTCATGGTTTTATGAAGATAAAACGAATGCATGCGTGGTGCCTTGGAACCTGCTAGCCAGCTAGGAGCCACTCTGTTAGGCACTACTCGAGCCAAGGACAGCCAGCCCCTGCAGCCAGTGTCACCCGTGGCTCTCTGCTTTCAGTGTCTCCAGGGAAACCTAGCAGGCCAGCTCAGACCCGAGCTCCCGCTGGAGCCTGGAGGCTGGATAGACAGACCTGTACGGGCTTCCGTATTGCGGGTGCACAGACAACACACTAACTTTATTCACATCAATACAAAAGTAGATTTTTCTAGAAATGTTCTCTTGTGCCGGGGGCAGAGAAGGTGGAGCAGGGTCAAGGTGGCAGGCCAGTGGTAGCAGGGCTGGGTGGCTGGAGAGCGGGGGCCCTCTCATTCCGCTCTGTCTACACACTGAAGGCTGGTGAGAATGGGGAGATTATGCAGACTGGCCTCGAAAATCCAAAACCACGGGGAGAGGGAGACAGAGACTCAGGGAGGGTGGACTTGGACACACTTGCTGCTGGTGTCCACTCCTGCCCCTGCCTGCTGTCTGTTTCCCACAGACCACCTTGGTTTGAGCACAAATGAAGCAGGGGTGGACCTGCCCCTCTGTCTCCACTTCCTTCCACGCTGGGTTGGGAAGGGCTACCATGCCCCAAACAGGCCAAGGCTGCAGATGGGTAGGGGCTGAAGAGTGGGTGCACAAATGCTCACGCAGGCAGAAGGAGCAGAGGCCAGGATACCCACTGAGGTGGCCAGGGGGCTCACTGGGGCAGGGCCTTGAGAATGGCATTCACCTCCTCCGCCACAGCTGTCAGAGCAAATTCAAATTGGTCCTGTACAAAGTCAGGGGCAGAAGAGTCAGGGGAAATCTAGCTTCTGGCCCCTGCCTCAAGGGACATTGCAGGGGTAGAGGGCACTGGGCATCTAGGAAGAGGGGAGTTATCCTGTAGGTGGGGTGGAGAGGCAGACTGCTGCTGGTTCTTCATGATGGCTATGAGGAGAATGCTTGGGAAGGGGAATCAGCTAGGGAGAGCCACTGTCACCTTAGAGCGGACAAGGCCAGGCCGCTGGTCACGGATGTGCTCCAGGGTGGCAGCGATGTCAATCTCCTTCACTCCTGGGGAGAGGATGGAGTAAGGTATTCTTGAAGGGATATCCAGGGGAGAAAATACCCTGTAAAACCTGACCCATCCTTGGCAAAGCCTGGAGATGGGACCACGTGATCCCCAGTGGGTTCTCAGGCTCACTGGGTGCTGGGGAGTCAGGAGGGACCGGGGGCTGCCGCCCTGTGGGGACAGATCTTACCTTTGGCCATGCGGTTCAGTACCATGTCAATAAGGATGTAGGTGCCTGTTCTTCCTGCACCGTCACTGAAATAGGAGTTGGTGACAGACAGGCTTAGCTCCGACAAGGCGGGAAGGCCTCAGAAATGGGGGCTGAGGGTGGGGACATTGGCTGACTGTTAGAGTTGGCTTGAGGAGAGCATTCGTGAGTCATGAGTGAGAAAACAGAGGCCCGGGAGCCCTGGCATGTCCCTAGGCATGGGGACAACTAGAAAGGACAGTCATGGCTCAGTTTTCAGCGGAGGCAGCCAGATGGAATGGGACTGGCCCTCTTCAGCCAGGGGTCAGGCTTTTGTTCAGCCAGCTCTCTATAGAAAGGGCCAAAGAGTAAACATTTCCAGCGCTGTGGGCTGACATTCTGTGTGTGTGTGTGTGTGTGTGTGTGTGTGTGTGTGTGTGTCTATTTTTAACTCATTAAAGACAGTGTACCAGATTTGGCCCATATCTGTTGTTCACCAACATCAAGAGGCAGTTATCCATGGTTTGTACACAAGGAAAAGGAGCAGGGGGAAGATGGAATCAGAAAGGCCCGGGGCCTCTGTGTGGCAGGCCCCACCCACCTGCAGTGCACTATGATGGGGCAGGAGCGGCCTCTGTAGCACTTGTTCACTTTCCTGAAACGAGAAGCCGGGTCTGAAGGCCGGGGGCCACCAGGCAGAAAGAAGGGACCCCGCGCTAACCGCACACCGTGTCACCGCGCTGGCAAGCACAGAGCAGGAAGAGAGTCGGAGAGAAGGGATTGAGGGCTGGTGACAGAGGACCAGAGCTGTGTGGGTGATTTGTCAGTTGGCAGCCATGTGCCCAAGCTGTGAACCTGGAATAATGGATTTAACTTCTCAGTTCTCATACCTGTAAGATGGAGTCTTATGAAATGCCATGAGGTAATCAGCATAAAGTACTGGCGTGCCACGGGTGCGCTCCACAAGGGGTAGTTACCAATGGTGGAGCATTGCCAAGTGGTTCTGTTCAAATCCAAGGCTTCCGGGTAAACTCCCGGTCAGCTCTTGCTACTCTACAGCCAGGAAAGCCATCCCCTTTCCTCTCAGGCTCTTAGTCCATGCTAGCCCTGATGTCAGGTCACCGAAAGGCATTCATTAGCAACAATTACTTTGTTCGAGCCGTCACATGCCAGCTGAATTTATGTAATTCTGGTGTAAGCCCCTGGGATTGTTTAGCTTACCTGTGTGGCCTTTTAAAAAGAAATCTATGCAGTGACTGACAGTGGCTCTATTAGGGACTTTCCTAGTTTGTGTTTGTTTGTTTGTTTGTTTGTTTGGTTTTTTTTTTTAGATCTGGGGCTCAAACCAAGGTCTCAGTCATGCTCTATTTGCTGAACCCAATCAAAACTTTCACCTTAAAAATATTAATATTCAGCAGTAAGGATTGAATCCAGGGTTTCGTGCCATGCTTGGAAAGTTCTCAGCCACCAAGTTGTATATACAGTCCTTTTTCGTTCTTTTATTTAGCAGTCGGGTGTCTGACTAGGTGCCCAGGCTGCCCAGCTTGCACATCTGCCTTAGCCTCCTGTACCCCTGAGATGACAGGTATGAGCCCTCTCATCTG